TGGGATGGGATGGGATGGGATGGGATGCGCCAGCACGGGTGGCCCCGTGGGGCTGGGCTGGGGCACGCCCTCCCCTCAGCACCCTCCGGTACAACCACCCACCGGCTGCAGGAACAGCCGATTAGCTCTGCCTGCTCTCACCCATTGCCAAAACGAGCTGCCGTGATCTCCGTCTTTGCTTTTCATAAACCGTCCAGGTTCTCTGGACCCGATCTAGCAAAGTACGAACACCTCAAATCGGAAAAATTCCTGCCAGGACAATACTGCAGAGCACAATACCTAAATGCATGTTTAACTGGCAGTGGATGCGTTCAGCCCAGCCGCTGCCCTGATGCTGGTGCTGGGCGGCTGATCAGGACCTGTCAGTGCTGCTCCATCTTGAAGGGTTCTTTGGAAGGATGAAGTAACTCTTCTTGGAGCTCGGGCTCCCCTGGGCAGAAATACAAATGAAAGAACGTATTTTGTATGATTTTCTCTGTAGTGTCTGGATAAGAATCTTAAACAGCAACAGCCCTGGAGTAGAGACTGAAGCTGTTTGTAAAAAGTGGAAATAGATCTTAAGAATAGAAAAGGTTAAGAAATGGGAAGAAATGCGTTTTCACTGACTCATATAGTTCATTTCAGAAGGAAAAGCTGGAAGTGTCATCTTTGTAACATACCAGGAAGCAATATATAAACTTTAAGTTAGAACGGCAAACCATTCTCCAAACATTCGGTTTTACCTCCAAAGATGTTTTTGCTCATGAGTCAGAGCTGATCCCAAGCCAATGGGAATGTTTCTGTTTACTTTGAGACTGTGCCTGCAACTGCAAATCCAACTTATTTTTCCTGAGGCGCACAAGTGATCTCTTCCAAGACCTGAGTCTTTCCTCCAAGGACTATAAACCCAAACTACTATGAAATCCAGCTTTGTGCAGAGTTTTGTGCATCCCTCGGTAAGCCTGAGGATCGGGCAGGATGAGGGCAGAAACGAGCCTGTCCTCCTCCAGCGCTGCCCCAAGAGCCCAGGAGCCTCTGCAAGGGCTGCACCGAAGTTTGGTACTCGCCCAGCCGAAATGTTTAGTCTCTGAGCTTCTCCCGTATGAGCTCTAAGGCAGCCTGCCATTTCGGGGCAAGAAGAAAGCGAATTTGTGAAAGCAGCTAACGCCTCCCTGCCCTGCCCGCAGGGACCCTCGGGGCAGGCTGGGGCTCGGGGCTGGGGCTGGGGGCTGGGGTGGGGGGGACACCAGCCCCTAACACCTTCCTCTGCCTCCAGGCAAAGCTTGTGGGAGCTCAACAGACACCCCCACACCCACGGCCCCAGCCACGGAACCGAAAGGCACGAGCAGCGCGGCAGCCACCGGAGCCCCCGGAGCCCCCAGCAGTGCCGAGCCCACGCCAGAGACGTCTGGTAATCGCTCCCCTCGCTCCCCCCGTGATTCCTGGTAGCATTTGCATTAATAATCAGATTTATTAACTGCACAGGCTTGCCGTAAGAAACAGCACAGTCAGTGCATGGGTTGTGCTCTCAAAAAAGAGCCTGATAGTATGGTCAAAAGCTTTAATCCTGTCCAAAAAATCCCGTCTGGGGCAAGCTAACACTGCTGTCTTCAGGATGGGTGGCTTAGACCTGTCCTCTTCAAAACAGCCAAGAGATGATGGGACAAAATGCTCATTAATCTTTTATCTCAACATACCTGTTCTTTGCTCAGCAAATGGCACCCATAAGAGGTCTGCCAGCCTTTACGGTAAGCTCCAAAGGGCTGCGAAGCAGGGACCCTTGCACAGATGTAGGGTGCCTTTCCCTTATGCTCTTTGAAATCAGTACAGCTTCTTGAAGACTCTGGGTCAAGGGGGAGGCGAGGGTGATGCAGGGGAGGTCGGGCAATGGCATCCTTGCTGTGGTGCAGCGTGTGCCCAGGAAATTAGCCCATTGTAAACAGATTAGGAAGCGCATGTAACAATTAGGTAACTGAAGCAAGTCTAATGCGCGTTTCTTATCCAGCCAATAACACGTTCTGGTACCGCTGGCTATGACAAATCAATATTGTACTTCAGTCATCGCAATGCCACGCATTGATTTTAGAGGACTTAAGCTTTCTCATGTACACTTTTCATTGCATTTCTTCAAAACCAAAGCTGCGGCCGGGTCCCTGGCAGCGAGCCCCACAAAAAAACGCTGGCCAGCCCCGCGGAGCCAGACCAAGACCACACGAGCCGAGGGGTCCCCACAACCCAGAGCCCAGCGACTCAACCCAGCACGACAGCAGAAACCCTGGGGTCCACACCGGCTGTGATGAGCT